CCCGCCCCCACGCCGCGCCGTCGCGGCCGGGCCACGGCCATTGGCCTCGCTCCTCCCCTCCCCTCCCCGTCGCCCTTCGGCCGGCCTCCGTCTCCCCCGCGGTAAGCCTGCAGCTGCTTCCCAATCTTTGACTCCAGTGCCGCGAGATCTTGGCTTGGATCTGCGGCCCCGTGTCTTCCCCGGGCCGTCTACTCGTCGAGTTTGCTCGCTTCTTGTTCTCGATTCGGCACAAGGAGCGCGCGTGCAGGGTGGAATTGCGGCCGGGCTGGTCATTTCATGTCAACATCCTTCCTTCTTTTGTCCCCCGCCTCAGTTCCAGCACGCGCATCTCCGTCAAATTCTTCTTTTTGGAAGAGGGGGTCGGTTCACTTCAGGTTGGCAGTACTAGTACCAAACGTAGCTTTCGCTGCAGCAGCTGCAGTCCAGCTCTGTTTTATTTCTAGTACCGAAACAGTTGTTGGAGTTTGGGCGATGTAGCTGTCCCTGGAAGCCCGAGTTTCTCCTCCCCAGTAATGGAGTGGGCCGGTACTTGAAAGCCGAGCTGGCGCATTGTTGAAAAAGAGCCATCTTATTCTTTTTCCTCAGGTGTTTGCTTCAGGTCTAGATTTGAAGAATCATGTGGCAACGTCACAAAAAGAATGCACATGCCTGGAACTTCAATATGGGGTAACCATTGCCCCTAGCAAAATGTAGAAGCATCAAGCTTCAGTAGAGGGTAAAGCTAGGTAGAGTACATTGAGTGACAGTGGAGAAACAGATCCGATCTGTTGGCTCTCTCTGTATGCAACTCTGAGCTCTCTATATAATCTTACAGCTCCAAATTAGAGCTTGAAAGCATGGGCGCTTTGAGTCGGTAGGATTCGATTACAATGTTTGAGTTTTGCAAACCTCTGACCCCTTCTCTGAAATTTGTAGCAAGACTCGATTACATTTCCCCTCAGTTGGAGCGAGTGTCACCGTTGTACCTTTTAGGGGGTTTAGTTCAGTTTGGTAGTACCAAACTACCAATCGTTGTGTTCATAGCACCATAGCAGTTTGTTTACTTGTACCAAAACAGTTGTTGGAGTTTAGGTGATGTGTTACGCCACTGTCCCTGAAAGCCTGAATTCCTACTTCGCAGTAATGGAATGGAGCGGTACATGGAACCAAAGTTGGTACCTACATGGCTGATGCATTGTTGAATTTTTGTTGCTGCTGTTGCGTGTTTGCCCTGAAGTAATTGTTGCGACTGTAGATTGAAGGATTATGCGGAACCGTCACCAACCAAATGTTGAAGAATCAGACTCTAATATAGAGTTGCTATTCTCACCAGCAAAATGTGGAAGAACTAATATTTGATAGAGGGTAGATCCAGCCAGCTAGGTTGAGTACATTGGGTGCCCATTTGTTTGCTCTTTCATATAGTCTTTACCCCTTCAAATTAGAGCCTCTTAAAAGCGTGTGTGGTAGCAGCCTGTGCGAGCTACTCAGCTGCCAAAGGAGTGAGCTACTCAACTCTGTTCTGTGGGAGCATACTAAGAAACTCCTAGCATTTTCAATTAGTCCAGAGATTTCAGATTCCTACCATGCAGCTAAATCTAGTGCACATGTTGTAGTTAAGGGAGCTTAGACTTGTTAAGCGCATGCTAACTATTTCCTTTCATATTTCACAAAGGTGGGCGGTTTAACACATTTTTCAGTTTCCTGCTTTTATTTTACAAGTCCTTGAAATTAGATTTAGCCTCTTCAAAAATAAATAATTCATTATTTAATCTTTATTTAACTTTTAATCGCCCCTTATTATTTGTGTAGAATGAGAAGTTGTTAAACTACCTCGGGAAAACCATTTCAGAGAAAGTTGACGTTCTCAATTGTTGATCTTTCTGAACTAGATCCTTCATATATTGATATCTGACTTTATTTTGTGAAGGAATATGAAACTAAGGACAAAACGACCTGGATGGAAGTCCCTCGTGCCTCTGCAGTTGAGCAGGAAATCCACCATGCGCTTCTTTCTGTTTCCCAAGGTTCAGGCATCCGGTCAATCTCCAAATGATACTCCGGTTTATCTTAATGTGTATGATTTGACACCCATGAATGGCTACATATATTGGGCAGGCCTTGGTATATTTCACTCTGGCATTGAAGGTACTTATTTGTGTCAGATGCATCTTTTTAAGCAAACGTACTATTTATGCACCAGTTCTTTTCATTCTTCTTTTCTCATTTCTGTTTGGTTTCGAGTTATAAATCCAACACGACTTCACTGATGCTATATTAGTCACCATTTCTCCTGGATTGTTCAGATCATTCCAACTAGCTCATAACGGCTAATGTTAACTATCAATAGGCTGCAGCTTACTTTTATGTACCATTCTCCAATCAAGTTGTTACTTACTCGACTGTGCATTAAAATAACAAGTAATCCCCTTACCTGAACGACTCATGTCTGCATAGTGGAGTTCTAGGTAAATAATAGCGCTTATTTTGACCATCAGGTTTTTGTGGTTGTAATGCGACTAATGATATCTTTGCCACCAGTATCATAGCAATTTAGCACACGATGCTTCAGGTGTTCATCTAGTACAGATTTTGGCATAGCCTATATAAGCTCCATCATGTACTCATATGTGCTACTGCTGCTGTTATTAGCTCATATTGCTACACTCATGTATAGGCATAGCCTCTGATCTTTTATTTCTTTTGGTAGAGATAAATATGGGATGGTAGCCTATGTTTTCCCTTCTACGAAAACTATAGATGAATGAAATAATCTTTGCCTCTCTTGATTTTGAGGGACCGCTCTATATGGCATTATGGCTTAGACTTCAATCTTTCTTTCCCAAATGGGTAGCTTCGGAAGGTGAATAAATAAATATTTTTACATGTATACATATGTAGACCCATCTCTTAGACATGAGGTAAGGATCTTCCTGGATCCCTTTAGTCCAGTGTCCGCTGCCAGGACAAGAGGATGGATATTTAGGGCTCTCTCTAGAGCTTTTGTTAGCTTTAGCTTATTCCAATTGGGTCTGCTTGTGAAAAGGTGGAACAACAATTAAACCTTTATTCAGGTCCTCTAAAACAACACCAAAATCCTACCTGGCTCTTCTGTTTTACTGTCCTCGTGCAAATCAAACTGGACAATTTTTGTGGAGTACAGAACTGATCTGAATAACATTGTAGTCTGATTGCCTTTTTTTTTTCTTCACATGCAGTTCATGGCGTCGAATATGCATTTGGAGCACATGATTATCCCACAAGCGGAGTATTTGAGGTAGAACCTCGTCAATGTCCTGGTTTCAGATTCAGGAGATCAATATTCCTTGGTACGACGTGCTTAGATCCCATCCAAGTTAGGCAGTTCATGGAGCTACAGTCAGTAAACTACAATGGAGATTCTTACCATCTTATCATGAAGAATTGCAACCACTTTTGCAAGGATATGTGTTACAAATTGACCGGCAGCAAAATTCCAAAATGGGTGAATCGGCTCGCCAGAATAGGTACCATAACTTAATGCAAGCACTAATGCTTATTATTATTAGATGGTCAACTGTTTATTCCAAAAGGATAGGCAGTTGTGATAATGTTGAGTGCATGGTCAGAATGCATTGAGCACTTTGACAATTACGGCCATCATTCTTGCTGATTAAATTCCATTGCCACTTTATTTTCTAGAAATGTAGTTTACCAAATTGTTGTGTAAAGCTGTACTTTTTGTGATCACATCATCTGCTAGTGCAATTCTGTAATCTTTACAGCGATTGGACTGGAGACCTTGATAGATTAGGAAAAGAATATAACCCTCCACCACACAAAAAAAGGCAATATATGACGGTGCACTTGACACCTGATCTTGTTGCAGCCTAATCATCTGCTAGATATTTGAGAAGTCTCTGTTTTCAGTTTTAAACAGGAATTGCATTCAGCATGGGCCAGCTTCCGCACAACATGAAACTCTGAACATGTAGTTCAACTGTCCATGGTCGGTGTAGTTTCATTTCTTGTCCAGATAAAGTCGTAGAAGAAATGAGATTCTTGTCATGTACATCAATTATTATTATTTTTGCTTGTTTTCCTGAGGTCCTTAAAAACTGACTTTTATCCCTTTTTCCTACAGGTGCCATCTGCAACTGCCTCCTCCCGGAGTCTCTCAAGATTTCCCCGGTCGGCCATGATCCAAACAGCCAGCCCGAGGATTCAGAGAAGCGCCGCCTGCGAAACCCGTTAAGCTGCTTCTCCTCCATCTCGAGCCAGAGAGCGCTTCCCCCGTCTTCTTCCCCTTTCCCTCCATCGCCCGTGAAAGAGCCCATTCTGAGCTCTTCATTGAGGAAATCCAGCACCGCGTCGCTCAAGAGTAGGTAGCCTGCGTAACTTTTGAGACCAAGTTGGCTAATTCAGGCAGCGGCGGCGCATCTGGACGGTGCCAGTTAATTTCTCTCTCTCTCTCTCGGTGTCAGCCTAATGCTTGCTTGTTGATGTTGTTGTTTGTTGTATCATGTGATGTAATCCCCGTGAAAAGAGTGGCTAAAGACAGATGTGATTTGGGTGAACGAATTCACCTCGATTCCACCCGCTCCCTCCCTGTACTCCTGATAGACTGTCGGCCAGATTGGATTTGTATATTAGTCTCTATCTATTCTTTCAGTTCAGTCTCCTCTAGTCCCTGTCTCATCGTACCTGATATCTTCCTCCTGTTGTCACATCCATGCATGCTTGTGTTGTCATGTGATTTTTTACCTAGTCAACTGTAAAAGCACAGACCAGTCTAGTTCAGCAGTAAATCAGCTAGCCTGCCATGTCCATATGCAGCTCACCGCATGTGGTTTTCTGAAAGATGGAGCAGTGTAGGCTCTAAATGAAGGCACATGCCAGTGGTCAGTTGAGCTGAGGTTGAGACCGGAAGTCAGTAAAGGTGGCTACAGGCGTACCACGCCTACGCCGGCGGATCGGATCTGCATCTCAGCCATACAGGTGTTGCAGCCGCGCTGCGAGCGTACAATTCCGCGGAGTGGCGGCGTGCCCACCAAAGGATAGGAGAAGAGAAGGACGAGGAGGGAAGGACAGCGAGCACGACAGTTTGCGGGCGCTGAAAGCTCTGCCCCAGTCTCCAATCTCGTCGTACGTAACGTAGTACAGCTCCAGGGGGGAGGCACCTCTCGGATAAGAATGCTCCGATCCTATGATGCCCCCACGACTAAGCAACGCCAAAGCCAAAGCCACGCCCAGCCCCCCGGCAACCTGCGTACGTTGCGTCCCCCACACGGCCACGGCGGGCGGGCGGGCGGGGGCCATAAAGCCGGCGACGGCGACGGGGCTCGACGAGGACGACGGTCGATGGCTCCCTCCGGGCTGTCCGTCTGTCTGTATGTGTGTTTTGTTTCTTCCCGTTCGTCCGTGTGCGGCCAAGGACGGAGGAGGAGGGTCCCTGTCAGGCGCGGTGGATGACGGGCGACGATCGGTTAGGTCGTGCGCGCGCTCGCTTCGCGGTGGCACGTACGTACGTGTTACTTTGGAGTTTTGATCCGTCATTTCATCCAGGCCGATCGCCCGCCTTTTATCCCTTTTTTACAGGGCTTATCCACGCGGGAGAATGGCTTTTCAGGCGACGGCTGGTTCGGTTCGCTTCTGCAATCATTAGCTCCGGATAACATGGCTGCGGTTTTTCTACCCTGAGCTCGACACGTCCGACGTCTACTCCTACTAGGATAGGAGATGCCACGTTTATGCGGCTAGCTGTACGTACGTGAGCCGAGCACCAACTCCTGCTCTGTTCCTGCTATCTCATGCTCCGAATGATGCCCAGCGTAAGCGTCAGTGCCTTGCTAGTGCTGCCACTCTCCTGTGCCGCCAGTTACACATTGTTGACGTATAAATGTATTGCATAGTTTTTTTTATATCAAATCGGTCTTTGATTGCATTGACTAAAGCATGCACTTCTACATCGTATCAGAGTCAAAAGGTCTTAAGTTCAAGACCCAGCTGGCTGTAACTATTTTCGGTCCATGTTTAGGCCTGAGAGCATGCACTTCTACACACACAGAGAACAGCTGCTGATTGAAAGACGGAAGGGATGTCATCAGGTGGCATTTCCCCCTTCATAATAGTATATTCTTCTGTGATAAAGCCCGCCAACTGAGGTGAAGCCCAGTCAGTTGGGCCGAGGCCGACCCCAGATCATCATCAAAAGCAAAAGAATACAAATGGGGACTGCACATACGCCTTGTGAGCTGTGATCACGCCATTAGACATTACTACTAGTTCAGCTCACGATAAACCACTTGCATGATGATAACCCGTACATAATATATACTTACAAAGATTACCAATTCATAATGTACATGGCTTAGCAAATAGTACGTACTACTACTGAGATTCTCCGTTAGGGCATCCACCCATTGAAACTACCACCAATACTACCCAGTTCTGACTTGCTGCTACTACTGCTAGTACGTGCATACGATTGCCCCGCAATCCCGGTTGATTAATTAATTAATTAACATTGATTGAGCATAGTAAACTACCACTAGCACTGTTCTTTCACCCCCTCTATCCGGATCAGCTGAACTGATCGTACACCCCTCCGAGGTAGCCGCCGGCCGCCAGGTCCATCATGTAGTTGGTGTAGGCGTACTCGCTCATGTAGGTCAGGTCGGTCTCCACCTCCTCCATCCCGAACTGCTGCCCCCCTACCATTGCCGTCACCGTCGAGAACGACGAAGAGCTCGGGCTGCTGCCACCCCCGCCGCCCGTTGCCGCCGCCGACGCCGCCATGGCCTTGTTTTTCTCCTCCTCCGTCTCCGCCAACCTCTCCTTGAGCCTCAGCAGCTGCATCCATATATACATGCACATGTTAGTTCAGCACAAACCAGCTAGCTAGCTACGTATAGTACCCAAGAGTTCTGTCATTTATGTGTGTGAAGTGTGAACTGCAGCTAGCTGCATGGCGTGAGTAAAGACAAGAGACTAGCCAGTCGGACTGTTGCGCTGTACCTCGGCCTCGAGGCGGCAGTTGTGGACGACGACGGCGTCGTGGGCCGCGCGGAGCTTGGAGAACTCCTCCTCGATGAGTTTGCTCTTGTAGCGGGCGCGGCGGTTCTGGAACCACACGGCGACCTGCTTGGTGTCCAGTCCCAGCTCCGCGGCGAGCTGCACCTTGCGCGGCGTCTCCAGCTTCCGCTCCTTCCTGAAGTTCATCTCCAGGAACTGCGCCTGCTCGTCGCTCAGCCTTCGCTTCTTCGCCGCGTCGTCCCCTCCGCCCTCACCACTCGCTGCCTGCCTCGCCCTCCGCCTCCGCCGCTGCCGGCCGGCCTTCTTCTGCTCTCCGCCTGCACCATTCACTTGAGAATCAGCAACAGCATATTGCGGTTGAACACTCGATCGAGCACTTACGTGCATATGGATGGTGCGCTAGCTAAATCAACGACGACATGGATGATTAAACTTACCGGAGACGACCGGTGTGGCGTCGTCCGCCGGGAAGCTGTCCGGGAAGACGAAGGAAGGGAACAGGAGCCTCTCTCCCTCCTCGGAGCTCATCTTTCCAGCAAATCAAAGCTAACAGCAACACGAGAATACTTCTCTCTCTAGCTAGTGCCCGATCAACAAATACTAGTATATTTGATCGGCTCTGATCGATGCTTTGGGCTTTGGGGTTGGGATATTTTGAGGGGCGAGAGCAGATGCTGTGTTGTCCAGTGACCGGTGTCCGAGTCTGTGAGCCTGGAGCTCGGCCGGGGGAATTTATAGAGGGAGAAGCGAGGGCTGAGGAGAGAGGGGCGTAGTACTGGCACTAGGAGTGGTAGATAGGAGTTGGGGCTTAATAATTCGTCGTGTGGGGAGCCACGGGAAAGCGATGCTGCGTGTGTCGCGCTGTGGATTGGTCATCATCTGCCGGTAATAGTGATCGATAATCAGAGTAATCGTGTGCTAGTTTTAGATAATGGAAAATGAAACGGGAGCAGGGTAAAAGCGACCGAGGGAGTGAGCTTGAGTGACATGCTTACTACGCACTGTAAATCATCTCCAATAGAGGCGCTAAATTTTTTTGCGGCATCGAAATAGGGTTTTAACGCACGAGGATGAGTGCTTTTTCAGGCGCTGCAAAATTTAGCGTGCCGCTGTAGCGCTTCACCAGATGCAGTAAAATTCAGCGCGCGCCCAGCCGCCGCTTGGAAAAAATATGAAACGACACATACGGAAACATTTACAGTTCAAATTTATAGCATAGTTCAAGCCCCAAACCACAAGCAAGTTCATACGATGCTAAATAAAACTAGATGAAACGATGCTAGACTACTTCCCGTCTTTCTCGGTGGTGTAGTCCGACAACGTAAATGCATCGAGTCACCGAGGATCTTCATCGTCCCATGTCGACGCATGTCCTAGGTCGATCTGGGCTTCTGCCAGTTCCATCCGCGCACACTTGTCCCCCCGACGCACGGCTCGCTCCGCCCTCCTCTGCGTCCAGAACTCATTCTCGACGGTGACATCCTGCGGTAAGCGCTTGCGCAACACCGCCATGGTGTGTTCGTCCACCTCGGCGATGAGGAGGGGGCGCTCCCGCCTATGTTGGAGGCGGCGATCCTCGTCGCTGATTAGTCGCGGGGGAGGTGCGAGATCCTGCGCCAGGCGTGTCCGCACTCGAAGAAATTCATCTGCGGCCGAGGCCGCCCGAGGCGCCACGCCGTCGTGTCGTATGCGCCGGCGGCCTCGTGGGCGGTGTCGAATGTTCCGAGCCCGAGGCATGTATTGCCGGAGCGGATCTCCGCGTAATGCACGCGGAGGGGCGGAGGCAGACGCCGCGGTAGCCCGAGCTGCTCTGGGGACACGGTGGCATGGCGAGGCGCTGGAACCGATGGAGGAAGAAGACGCGGCGGCGCGGGGCGCTGAAAGAGGTGTGGCGGGAGAGAAGTTTCTGACGGTTGGCGGGCGCAGGGGCGCGGCTTATAACCCAGTGGGCTGGGCGTCGCGCGACAAAACTACCGCGCGCGCGCTGTCGCTTTTTCCCGCGCCCGGGTCAATTTATTTCGCGCGCCAACTTTTCACGCGTCTGCTGGTGCGTGTCGCACGGCCTCTCGCGCACGAAGCTGGACGGTTTTTCCAACGCGCCAGTTGGAGATGCTCTAAGCGGGTGCTGATCTCCCCAGATTAACAGCACAGTGCCGTCTTTTGGCGACAAGGACGCACGCACTACACTAGCCGGACGGCCATCGATGGATGCTTGTGGCGAGAACTGTGAAATTCCCGCGCACTTGTAACTTTTTCACCGACGCAGATGGCCGCAACAGTATTACATATTACTAGCACGTACGTGCAGCTAGTGCACACAAAAAAGAAGGCTGCTAAGCTTTGACAAGTGTGCA